GGACAAAATTAAGATTTTTATTTACTTTGATAAACTTTTGCTTTAGTATTCTCTGGTTGGTATCTTTATGTCTATTGTACATTATGACCATTACTGATAAACTCCTAGACTCTAATAACATGGGGCAGAAAAAAACTGTGTTTTTATGGAAACTAAAGGTCAAAACCAAATTAAGTTCTAGACTGGCTACCAAGTCTCAGAATTCGTATTAATGTAAAATGGATTTGGTCTTCTGTAACATAGAAGTTAGTGATGTCTTTTGACCCAGGCCAGACACAGAACACCAGCAGCTGAATATCTCACTAGGTGCCCTTTGAAAAGAATAGGTTTTTGCCATTTGAGAGTTAACAAAGCATTTCTCAAATTTTGTTCTCCCAGTAACCATATGAAGTCAATAATACATGCCCATTTTACAGATGGGGAACTTAAAGTTCAGAAAAGCTAAGAAATTTGCCTGAAATCATTAGATTAGCAAATGTCAAAGAAACTTGAATCTCTACCATCCATGGCTGTGATATTTTCCTCAAATAAACAAGAACTGCAAACTATGTTTATGTAGATTTTCTCCGTAGTATTTCTGTTTTATTCTACACAACTATGTAAAAGTCACCAATGATTTGGAGACAAGCAAAATTTGGGTCCAATTCTGTAAGCTATTATAATTAGATTGGGTGAACCCACTTTCACCTCTGTATTATTTTTTTATTAGTTTTCAAGAGTCATTTAATACAAGCTATTTAACTTCCATCAGTTCTGTTTCTCTTACATTTGTAATTCACATTTACTGATATTATTGTTCATATTTCTTGTGTCTGATTTTTAACGTAGGTAGGTAAGAGAGTACAAGTACAGAAAAACTCCATGGGTTTGCTACAGGTCCAGATACCAATGAGAATCCAGGGAAAAGGGAATAGAAGAAACAACACAGTTTCTGAGTTTTTCATTTCTCATGGCTCAATTCTCATTTGTCATATCTGGAACTCATATTGTCTTGGGCTTCATGGCTGGATGCTTGTTTCTGATGCTAGTCTAATCCACACATTAAATAAACTAAGTTCTCTTCTTGGTAAATGTCAAGGGAAGAGAGGATATTTCATGTACCTACAACATCCTAAAATCCCTTGCCAAATCTATGAATCTGACTCTGCATTATCCTTCCCCAGAAGGAGAGCATAATTTCATTATCTATGAATCATCACCTCTTAGACTATAACATCATTGTCAGAGAGCCTAATAGAACCAGCGTTCAGCCAGCTGAGAAGGGGGAGGGTTGGGGAGAGCACTGGGCAAAGCACAGGTCACTGGCATGATCAAGAAACTGGAGGGTTCTAGAGCGGAGGGGGAGGCCTCCCTCACCTGATAGCTCAGACATTCCTACTGACTGGCAAATAACTGATGCTGATTCTTTCAATATTAATACTGAAATTTGTTTTCCCCAATCGAAATTCGATTATATTTTGGAATCCTACCTATGGAAAATACTAACCCATTTAATGAAAATTTCAGAATATCTGGCCAACATTGATGAGTATAAATACTTTAAACTATTTCTTATCTATTCTTACTACATTATTACTTGCTCTTCATCTATGGACCCTTACTTCTAACTCCCAGTGTCATTTCTGTGGCCTCTGTCTGGGCTAATTACTAAATAAGTCCATATGCAAAATATACTTTAAAAAAACCACACTATATGTTTCCCAGGGAGATGAATTAAATACAATCCAAGTCTGATTCACGGATGGAAAAATAGATGTTGTTAATCATGTTTATATAAGGATTCAGGATTAGAAAAACCGAAGAGGTGCATGAATAACTGTGGTTAGTCTAACCAGCCACTGGAGGTCACTGCTGCTCCACAGAAATACAGTTGATTGCCGGTCTGCTTAGTTGACTCACCAAATCAAGTAAAAAATGGTTTAAAATTTTTGAAAAAATGTAATGTCAACATTCTTGGAAAATATAAACTCATTTAAAAGGACTATATCTTATGTAAGTATTGCTTAGAAGACTGTAGCACTGGGACTATTCAAGCCGAGCTGTGGTAGCTCTATGTGTACTGGGGCTCATAAAAATGGGGGGAAAAAACATGTAGTTCAGCGACTAAACTGCGTTTCTTCTCTCTCTGGTAAAGCATTCAAAGTACTGACCGAATCCATTCTGCATCGATGCATCTGTGTTGTATAGTTCAGTAGGTCAGGCTGTTTATTTAACTGTTGTCACCTTTGAGGGAAGTCAGGTACTTCATGTAAATTTGGAATAGAAAATGGAATACCAATGATATTTCTCTAATATGCCATGAGGTGGAAATACTTAATGAAAACAGACTTACAGCATGTAGTCCAGAAAGTGCTATGGGGTGGGGGTGAAGACAACAACTTTTGAACAGAAGAGCACTGACCGGTTGGCTTTGTCAGATTTATGATGGCGAACTAGTTATTGTCTAACCTACAAGAATTCTTTATTTGTGATCGGAATATCCTGAGCAATAGAGAAGCTTCATTCCCAAAGTTGGGGGGGGGGAGTTCTTTTTTAAAAAGAATTCATGTCCTGAATCAAAATAACTTTTATAATCTAAGGAATTTTATTTTGGTTCTATTATTAAATTTATAAATTAAGTTAGGCACTAAAAAATGACCAGCCTGCAAAATGTTGGTCATTCATTTAATCTTATACGTGAAGTGGCTTTGAATTTTAGAAACACTTTCAATACAACAAACATATTTTATATATTCCAGTAGGGTCACAACAATGAGAATTGTAAGAATTAAAAAATATAAGTATAGATATGCCTTGCCTAAGTTTATTTGGTATCCATGACAAATGAGGCAGAAGGTCAAGTCAAAGAATAGAAATGGGCTTTTTCACTTTAACACTGCATTTAATTAATCAATCATCTTCAGTACAGATAAAAGTGAGGCTGATCAAAGAAATTTTCTTTTTGAGATGGAATATATATTTACTGACATTTTATGAAAAATGAGAAATTACAACTTCCGTGAAAAACATCACAGTAGGCTCAGTCATCCAGTTCATAGTACTGTAAGGAAGTATCTGCATTATTAATCAACTGGGAATCTGTGACTATTTACCATTAATAAATATACATTCAACAATTATTCATGGGTAAATATATCGTAGTTATGATGCTTTTCTGAACTGGCATCTCTTTTAAGATTTAATCAAAATCAAAGTACCTTGAGAAATCCATTTTAAATGTCCCCTTTCCTTTCGCTTCTCGGCCTTTTGGCTAAGATCAAGAGTAAATGTCCCCTTTCCTTTATTGCTTATAAAAGTATGATTTTTTATAGTCTGGCTTCCTTGCAATTATATTTCATGATGACTTGCCTAGATTTTTCCTGTCAGCATATGAAAAGCCTTCAAACTATATAAAAATCCTGGTTGAAAAAATAGCCATTCACTTTTTCTTTTTTGCTGCAGTGATTTTTGTTTTGAAAGAACAGGGATGTGGTTAAAGATATGGGGCTTGGCAAGCCAAATTAAATGAAACAGACTCAATGTTTCAATTCCTGATTTTTGCTCCTGCAACAGGATTGTTCATTTTGGAGGATGAGAGGATAAAATACAGACCACAGACATTTTTCTAAAATCTTAATGAAGTGTGGTCAAAGTTACTTAAATACAGAAGGTCTGATATTTGTGCTGCAGTCAATAAACTTTCACCTACAACAGAAAAACATGCATGCAGCTTGCAGATTGCCGACAGGGTCTGTACAGAATCATACTGATGGATGAGTTCACAGTACAGATGAACATAGGGACACTATAACGTCAGCAGTAGAAAAGCAAAAGACAACTGCCGTAGGCTTGGTCTTTTTTCCTTTAAGATTTATTTTATACATTTATTAAGGTGTTATCAAAATCATTCTTTTCAATGAAGCTTTTGGTGGAAAGCATGTCTTGGAATGTGTTCTCTTTATACCTCCGAATGAAGTGTCAGTCATCAGGGGACTAGTGTGTGCAGGGCACATAATGGAACACAACAGGACAGCCGGACAAATCCCAGACAGAAGAAGAGACAGAGCTAAAGATTCCACTCACTACATTAGGGTCCTTGAAAGTGCTGGAAAGAAATTCTGGTAAGCTCCCAACCACATGCAAATAGCAAGCTGCCTTCCCATTTGCAAGCCTCATCTCTGAAAACTCCCTAAGGTGAGGAACAGTGGAGAAATCTGCCTCCTCAAATTTGCTTCTGGTTATTTAATTAATTTATTTATTTAGGCTAAATAAAGGCTAGGAGAAATTGACAGTGTGAAACCTCTAGTTTGATTTTCCAGGGATGGATTTCAGAGACAAGGCATTCAAGTCTAAAACTTTGTGTTTTTACCATCTCACGTTTTTCGGTTGTCTATTTGCAGCATTTTAACTCTTCAACACTTTTCCCTGGGCTCGCTTTCTTGTAATTCAGACACCTCTGGAAAATTGCCCGTGGTGCTTCTTTAACCCAGCACCATCTTTTGATAGTTTCCTGCAATTTTCTTTTTAAGCCAGATCATGTTTTAAGGCTGTCTCTAAATGTTTCTGTAATCAAGCATTCTCCTAGAATCAGTTCGAGCTCCCAGTACCTGGGATCATTCCCTTTTTCCTCGATTTGCCAATGAACAGCAAACCTTCTAGAACTATAGATTTGGTCCTACCAGAAGAGAAATAACAGCAGCTGTGGGGGATTACTTACGAAAGAAGTTTTATCTTAAAACAAGTGAGATATTAATGCGATCGATAAAGAGTCTTATACAATAGGCATTATATTGAACCAGAGTTCGAGCTTTGCATTGGTTGTGGTATTTAAATTTCAATGGGCTGATTATGTATGAGAGGAAAATGCCCAGTATTATGAATGTGCTAAAACGGACAGGGAAGGACCTTGCCAGGAGAGGGAGAGGGAATGGGAGGGGGCACCACATTCCGTTTATAGTCACCAGAGTTCAATAAAGCACCACTTATTTCCCAGCTTTTAAGAGCGCTTTTACCACAATGGTTCATACCTCACACTCCCTGGAGCCTGATTTGTTATAGGTGCAGGGTCCCGTCCCATTCAGCAGCATCTCGCTGGTCTCCGTGTTGGTGGGTTTATAATCTACATAAAATTCCTGGGTGCTGGGAGTCATTTGCTTTAGGGACTGTCTTTTCTTTTTCTTGTGCCTTCGCATGAGGGAGCGCTGCTGCAGCTGCTTCATGCTAGCAGGGTACCGCTTCCATGACACGTAGATAACGAGCAGGATGACGAGCACGGACAGGAAAAGGGCCACGCTCCCTGCGATGATTTTATGGAAAGAGATGTGCTCGGTGTCAGCATCGGTCTCTGGGCCGGGCTCCGTGGCTCCCACCGTGGGGGGCAGAGGGGGCTTGCTCTCATGCTTCGGCCTGGGGAGCTTAGGCTTAAATGTCGGCTTGGGGAGAGCCCTGGCCAGATCAAACCTCTCTGTGGTACTTTTGCCACAGATGCTGTAGTTCTTCACTGCATCGATCACATTTACTCCTTGCAGCTCTTTGGGACTGGCACAGATAATTGTATTCTCCCTCAGACCTTTAAAACTTTTCAGCCAGTTTACCAGGGAACAAATATTTCTGCTGCATTCCCATATATTCCCGGCAAGACTGATGTCATTGAGAGATATCCAAGAATCCAAAATCTCTTGACCAATAAATGTAAGCTTATTGGAATCCAGGTTGAGGCGCTGCAGGTTTGGGACACACTGGAAAACACTAGGTCCACTAAAAGCTTCAATCTCATTGCCTGATAAATCAAGCCTTTGTAATGAGCTCCAGGTCCAGGACATGGTCTGTCCTATGACACTGATTTTATTCCACTGCAAGTAAAGGTTCTGAAGGCTCACCAACCTTGGAAAAAGGGCCAGGTTGAGCTTAGAAAATTGATTGTGCTCCAGGTGAAGTTCTTTGAGTCTGATCATGCCAGCAAAGACATTCCTGGCTAAACTTCGGATCCGGTTATATCCCAGGTCCAAAAGTTCCAGATTGCGGCAGTCTTGGAATATTCGCACAGGGATGGTTCTCAGGGAGTTAGACCGTAAATGTAAACTCAGCAGCTTCCGCAAGCCCCGAAACTGTTCAGATCCCAGAGAATGCAGCTGATTATAGGACAGATCCAAGTTCCGTAAATTTGTCACAGGTCTGAAGGTATTGTTGAGAAAATAGGAGATTCTGTTGGAACTCAGAATCAACTCTTTGAGTCTGCGAATCCCATTAAAAGCATTCTCATCAATATTGCTGATATGATTATGGTCAAGGTACAGCCAGGTGAGCTGGTTGAGCCCTTTGAATTGATTATACTTAAGTTTTTGAAGGCTGTTATAGCGAAGGGACAAACCTAAGCAACCAGCAGATATGCTTGAGGGTATCTCCTGTAATTTCTGAGATTCACAATATACCATTTTGCCTTCACACCTACAGCCCTTAGGGCATCCTCGTTCGGCAGAAGAAAGCATTGTCAGTAAGACAGTGGGGGCTATAACCAGTGCTACAGCTGATCCGCTCAGTAGCCTAATTACATTGAAACCTGGAAATAAAAACAACTTGGAAAAGTTATCCCCCCACAAAGGAATTCATTTATTTTCAACCAAGCAAAAATAGGCATGTATTTTCTTTTTTAAAAAGTTTAAATCTAGATAACAACATTTAATATCAAATATCACCTCCTTGACATTTAAAGAGAATTGTCTTTAGGGTTTTTTTTTTTTTTTTAATAGTTAAGCAAGGAAACATGTCCACTAAGCAATTGAATTTATAGTCTTAAGCACAGAAAGGTAATCTCTAAAATAATTAAGGCAGAATTACAACACAGACTAGAGGGTTTTGTTTTTGTTTTTTTTTTTTTTTTTTTTTTTTTTTTTAAGAAGGAAAGAAGAAAAATGACAAAACATACCCATCCTTTGTATTGTTCAAAGGTCGTCCTTAGGTCTTTTGCTTTGGCTTAAGGGGCCACTTGCATGACAGCCCCTGTCAGCTGCACTGTGAGTCAGGGCTCGCTGACACCCAGGAAGAAAAATTGGACCCCTTGGGAGATGGACCGATTTTGGAACATTATTCTTTGCCAGCCACGCAGAACACTCCAAGAACAAATAAATTCCAGCACCGCATTTGTAGCAAAACATCAAAAATCTTCCTAGGTAATAGGATCTTCGTGGATATTACGTTTTTGCATCTTTACAGTTTTTTGGGGGGGGTGGTGTTAAAAAAAAAAAAAAAACAACTGGCTTCTATAATTTCTTCTTATCGGAAAGCATGATGTATTCCTCCAGGCAACGTGGGGCTACCTGAGCTGCCACATCTGTATTCCATAGCCCAGCATTTCTGGTGGTGAGCACCCACTTCAGCCACAAAGCTGCGTTGGAGCCCAGGAGGCAGGAGAGCCCCGTACCGCACACACGCTCAGCTCACTTCTGCAGACTGTCATTCTGAAAGCTGCTCGGACTGTTGCTTTGGTTTCAGTGAATGCAGTCTTATGTAAAGCTGCCCCCAGTGGTGAAGAACATTATGGGCATGTGCAGAAATGTCTCTCTTTTATCTTGCAAATGAGCAGGCTCTCTGCTGGAAAATGAATGATTCTTTTGGCTGGCTCAATGGGAACTGAATGGTCACCCTAATCAATAACTAGCAACATTTTCTGTAATTTCCAAGTCTTGTTTTACAGTTTGGCAATGTCTTTATTGTCTGCATCCACTTAATCGCTAAACATGTACTGCCTAGAGTTTTCCTGGAGCTTTACATTAAGTTCACAGACCGAATGTCAATTTTTCTTAACCTCAACGTAGGCTTTGGGCTGAAATTTATAAAATGACTTATTGAGCTTTTCACAGAGAAGCATTAACTGCCTGCCCATTTGACCTCTTGGAGTCACAGTGATTATATTACGCAAGGTGTCACAGGATGCTAAGACACATACATTTTGGAATAGAGGGGATAACTAATGACATATAAATTGATGTGTCCAATAGCTTTTCTGGTTTTCCTACAAAAGACATAATTGGTTTAATGGCTTATGGCTTGGTTTGTTGTTTTGGCTGCTGTCATTTGTTTCTTCTTTTTTTTTTTTTGTATTTTATTTATTTATTTTTTATTATTATGTTATGTTAATCACCATACATTACATCATTAGTTTTTGATGTAGTGTTCCATGATTCACTGTTTGCATATAACACCCAGTGCTCCATTCAATACGTGCCCTCTTTAATACCCATCACCAGGCTAACCCATCCCCTCACCCCCCTCCCCTCTAGAACCCTCAGTTTGTTTTTCAGAGTCCATCATCTCTCATGGTTCATCTCCCCCTCCGATTTCCCCCCCTTCATTCTTCCCTTCCTGCTATCTTCTTCTTTTTTTTTTTTTTAACATATAATGTATTATTTGTTTCAGAGATACAGGTCTGTGATTCAACAGTCTTACACAATTCACAGCACTCACCATAGCACATACCCTCCCCAATGTCTATCACCCAGCCACCCCATCCCTCCCACCCCCCACCACTCCAGCAACCCTCAGTTTGTTTCCTGAGATTAAGAATTTGTTTCTAATTAGAAGAGAAATAAACAATTTTTAGTGCGAGTAAAAGAATCAAGAGATCATTTGGTCCAGTTTATTGATGCTGCTGCTATTTATTGCACTAATAATGTTTATTGAGCACTTCCTAAGTGTTTTAAATGAGCGATCTTATTTTATCTTTAAACAATATTATGATGTAGGTCCCTTTATAACCTTCATTTTAAAGATAAGAAAACTGAGGCTTGGAGAGGTAACTTGACGAAACTCATGCAGCGAGTAAGTGGCAGAGCTGAGATTCAAAGCCAACTCTCTCTTTCTCTTGGACCTTTAACCACTAGATGATCCTGCTTCAGCAGCAGTGTTGTCTTCATCTGAAAATGAGTCAAGTGAAAATTAGCCTGATTAGGTTACTGGGTCAAGGAAGTTGTAATATCAATCAATCCATCAATCAATCTTGCTTCCTAGGTTTGTATAAACTTCTTTGGTGTGATTCTTTGAAAGAAGTATTATAAAACCTAATGAGAAGCAATTTAATCTAGTGATTAAGAGTGTGGATTTTTGCACCTAGGATCAAATCCTGGCTACAAATTGCGAGCTATGTAGACTTGAATAGGTTACTCATCTTCTCTATGCCTCATTTTCTCTTCTACAAAATAGGTATGGTAACAAAAAAACATTTCATAGAGGGTTTGAGAATTGTCAACTTAATATCTGTAAAGTACTTAGAATAGTGTGTAGCACATAATAAACCTGTGTTAGCTGTTATTTTAATATCAACTTTACTGTATTTGCTGTCATTGCATATTGTTTAGTATTGCATATTGACTATAGCGACTATCATTAACTCACAAAGAACCTCTTCAACGAACATTTTATGTTGTTCACAGTGGATTTCTAGGATTCACTCAGTCTTACCTTCTTTTAATAAGAAAACTTCCTAAATCTCCATCATCTCAACTTTGTCTTTAAAATGAATCTTTTGGTTCTGTGGACCAAAACTAGTAATTATTGTTTAATTCTTTCTTCCCTAAAGCAGAATATGGTAACATCTGTCCCATAGAGAAAATCATTTTGTTTAAAGATAAATAGTATACCTTAAAAAGTCTGCCTTGTCAGTCTTTGTCAGGCGAATTAGCTGTGGAAAACCCCAGAGAACTTTCACATTCTCTAAGGATGAGAAATTTGGTAGTTGTTAGTCTTGACAATCAAAAGGGTCCCACAGAAGTAGTACGATGAGAATCACCAATTCCTCAGATAGTATGGTATTGAAAGGGCAGTGGTTCCTCCCAAATTATCCATGCTATTAATGCATATAAAACCCCCAGAGAGCTTGTTAAACATATATTTCTCAGTCTTTCCCTCAAGATTCTGATTCATGGGATGGTAGAGGCTGCACTTATCCACAGACTGATAGACAAGGAATTTTAAGAAATGCACTGTAAGGGAGGGATTAAAAATAATAAATTTCCTCCTACTTGGAAGAAAGGATATAAAAATTTATGATATTGTGATGCAAGTTCCATGAGGACAAAGATAGTGTTTTGTCTACTTCAGTTTCTCTAATACCTAGAAGAACACTTGACACATAATAGATGCTCAGTTATTGAATAAATACAGTTTTATGGGGGTCACAAGTACATTTGATGGGGAACAAAGTGGTTATGTAATGCTAGTCTTGTGCATATGGGATTGATCTCTGCAGTTCCTGAGCCAATGATATTGGATACAATTTTGGAGAAAGTGTTCTTAAAGAATGTGTGTAAAATGGCAAGAAACTAGAAAGTGGAAACATTTAGATGGTCAGCAAGTGATCTCTACTTTTTATGTAGACATCTCATCTTCATAGTTAAATCATAAATTTCATAAGAACAGTAAATATACTTTTGAATCTTTTCTTTGACATGTTACAGCTTTTATCATCTAACATCCCAAATGGGACTTGACAACTTGTATCTATTAAAAAGTACTAGAGGAAATCATATTTATAACTTCTCTCTCATATCTCTGTTGCTTGAGAGCCTCTGATTTTTCTCCTTACTTTCCTTGCTTCTCCATGGAAAATAGCTTTTGAGATGTCTGTTTTGCCAAACAGCTGCAGAGGGCTACTCTACAATGGCTGGAGGCCCCATCAACTTTGTGCTGCTTCTTTTTCCTTCATTCCCTGGTGACCAGAACACAGATGAACACTGAAAATGTAATTCCCTCACTCTGCTTTTCCTGGGAAAAATTTTGGATTATTTATGGTGAATAACATTCTTTTCTGTGTTTCACACCTTGTCCTTAGGTTTCAGTCATTTTTCTGATACCTTGGCTTCTGAGCTTATCTTGCTCCATAGTTCTGACTTCACCCTCACTTTCGCATTCAGTCTCATGATTGATGTTTCCTCTTAATATGGATCATTGGTTTCTTCCTCAATAGTAATGAAGAGCCATTCTCGTCCTGGGTCTGACTCCAGTTACTCTGTGTGGTCCCTACCTTGGCACTAGCCCGTAAGCTGGCATCACCATCAGGTCTGTCTGGGTTCAATGAAGAGGGGCTAGCAGAAAAATCCAAAAATAAAATAATACAGTTCAAAGCAGACTGAATACTTGAGACTGCAGAAATTAGCCCAAAGACATAGAGTCTTTTCTTTTCAAAAGAAAGAAAAAAGCCCTTTATATTCTAAAATATTTTAGCAACTTGCTATTATACTTTTAAAAGTTTGTCCTCCTTTTACTTGTTGCCTATAGCAAGATGATTAGTTCTGATTTGCCTTTCAATAGAACCAAAATTATACTACATTATGTATTTAAAATTCTTTTGCACTTACCACTGCATACAGAATAAACTATAAACTACCTGACAAGTTAAATGATCCCAATGAATCTAGGACTTTAATGATTTATACAATTATGAAACGTAGTCATGTACCTAAAGACTTTTGAAAACTGTACGTATGTACTTTAAATAGCTGTTCATATTTTGCTTAAATTGGGTAAACAAATTCTAACTAAGTGTATAATGCCCAACTTCAATCCACTATGAAATGAATGGCCAAAAAAACTTAGAAAA